TCCATTTACAAGACAATTGTTTATAATAAAATTCTATTCAATCGGTAGATCCATAACGATTGAAAACAATGTTTTTGTTTGAGTTTGGGTTTAACCAATTCGTAAAAAAAAAAACAACAAAAACTAATTAAGACATGCGTGTCCATCAACCTTAAACAATAATCTTTTTCAATTTTATTTTTCAGTCTTTATGATGGTCGATACTTGATCTATCTCTTGCTGTTACATCCCCAGGCAATGCCGGGCTCTACTGCTAGTATATATATATATATATATATATATATATATATATATATATATATATATATATATATATATATATATATTTTTTGTTTGTTTTTTTTAAATTAAACAGTATTTTTTTTATCCAACTACATCTACCAACCCAAATATTTGAGAAATCTTATCAGAAAAATATGCATCTTCCAGTATATTTCTTGGACAAGATTTCTTGAATATTCTGGACAGTAAATGTAATTGGATAAAAAAAAAATACTGTTTAATTAAAAAACAGAGTATCCATCAAAAATAAAATTTAGACAAAATAAATTGATAACATGTTAGATTTAATCCATTTCCTAAAAATAAAGTTGGCTATATTTATTGGGGAATAATGCTCAATATTGGAGACAGCATTCGTAGATATAGACATATGAATCAACACTGCATGGTGACTGTCAGTTTCATGCTTCAGATTATTTGAGGCATGAAACCGACATTCACCATGCACTGTTTGTATACATCTTGGGAATTTAGACAGCAATCCTTCATTTACGCATGTTTCATTAAAAACGACAGACAAGGTTCTATGATTAAGCTTTTTATTTAAATTTTTCTATTTTTTCTAGTGTCCAAAAAAGAAAACACTTGTTTGAACACAAGAAAAATTAAATAAAGAGCTTAATCGTAGTACCTTGTCTGCCGTTTTTAATGATTTTATATATATATATATATATATATATATATATAAATAAATAAAACAAAACATTTTTATCTGTACATTGTACAATACTTATATTCTGCAATACCCTGGCTATCTTCCAAAGCAAAATACTGGTTTTGGCAATATTGTACCTCATTATCACTGAATAGTATAGATAATATTTTTTTCCCTCCTTTAGTCAATAAAAATCATTAACAGATTCAAGGGTAGTTATGTAATGCGTAATAATATGTTAAATTTGTTTGGGGGATAACGTAATGAGTATAGTAAATTTTATTTTCACTGAAAGTTCTCCTATAGTAGTAGCAAGTTATATACACACACACACAGTTTATTTGTGTACAATTAGATTCTATTGCAAATTTCAAATTAAAAGTGTTGAGAATAATAATATTTTACTCCTGGCAACTGACAAGCTTTACTAAAGTCATTAGAGTAAACTTCATACAGCAAATCCTTACTTCAAGTGAAAGAAAGGAATAACCAGATTTCATCATAGGTTCAATTATATAATGCTGTTGCTATTCCTAGTTTTGTTTTGTAGAAGATAAATGTGTCACATTGAGCAAAAGCTTCCATTTTTTTAAATTAATGACAATCGTTGATGTTGTTGGTTAGTGATTGAGAGCTCTTACAATGTCTACTGGTTACAGTCCTTAATTGAATTTCCATAACACTAGTTTTTAGTTAAGTCACTGTTTTGTATTCAGGGATGTAGACAACATGTTTAGCTACTATATATATATATATATATATATATATATATATATATATATAAAGACAAATATTTTCAAAAGCAAAAATTGTAAGAATCTGATACCACTAAGTTCAAAATGGAGCAATAATTTATGGTGTATGTGTGCGTGCAACACTCACCGAATGCACTTATATTGTTTGTTGCTGGGAATTTGTTGTATGAGGACTGTAGAATTTACAAAATTTTATTATGCAATATTTTTTTCTTATTTCAGTTTTACAATGAAATATTAAGGACTTTGTGCATTGTTTTTCTTGTACTGTGTCCAGAGATTGATTACTTTTGAGATAAAATCTCCTTAGCAAAACATTAACAAATCACCACTGCATGTCAACATTCTTGTCTCTGGTTTGAATATGGCTTCTAAGCTTCAGTTAATCATGTTTTGTCTAAGAAGAATATCAAGCTAAAATTATGTATGATGAAATTCTACATTTACAGAAGAACAATAACCTGGTATAGTGTTCATTGTATAAAAACAGCTATTAGGCTACTTTTCATAAAATCCTTTCAGCAAATAGGTTACTTTTTGTTTTTTTGTAAATTAGTATTTTAAGATCTTTGACAGCACCTGTTATGGCTACTAAGTTTCTCATTAAGTACCCCACCTTCTGTTAAACTAAATCAAGCTGAGTCAAATATCTATTTTGAAAACTTTAAATTAAAATTAAATATGACCATGCACATTTTGAGTGGGGTAATGATATTTCTAAAGAGAATTTAATGGTGAAAAATATTTATCCACAATTTCAGAAAGATTTCATATGAAGTGGGTGCTGAAAAAAAGCTTTCAGTTTCAACAAGAAGTTTGTGTTTTTCTTTTTTTTTATTCTGGCGTTTAGTCAAATTTTGGAAAATGAGTCAGGCTGATAACTTTTCAGCACTGTTCTTTTACAACTAACCTTAAAATCAGATGTGATTTGAAATTAATAGCTTGATGTTTTATTAACTGCAAATGCAAAAATGATTTTCAAAAGTGGAACATAAGCTAAGCACTATCAGAATGAGATGAGAAGAACGAGATCACTTTTTCCTGCCTTTAAACATGACCAAATAAATTATATATTTGTGAATATTGCTTCAGAATTAATAAAATCTGAACACTTTAATACAAATTGGGATAATGTAATTTATCCCTATTTACACTATTTATATTTGGACAATTTTCCTCATTTTTGTTGTTGTTATCACAAGTACACACCACCAAGCACAGGAATTGAACTCACAATTATGTCACCAAATTCATGAACCAATACTTTAATCCACTGCTATTGTCCGATAAGAGAATTCACTGTGGAGAATATGGAGGCTTAAACATAACCTACCTGCCTGCTGATGAATTGCTGCTCTTGTTTGTCATACTTGACTGCATTCATTGAAAGAGAAAAGCTTAGGTGAGTGCAGTCAAGTATGACAAGCAGAGCAGCATTCTGCAACAGGCAGGTTAGGTTTCTCTGTAGAGAACTTGGAGCCTTAAGCCTAATCTGCCAGCTGATGAGTGCTGCTTTTCATGCTTGACTACACTCACTGTTCTCTTTCAATGAGTGTAGTCAAGCATGACAAATAGGAGCAACACTCATCAGCAGGTAAGATTTAAGGCTCCATATGCTCCACAGAGAATTGTCCTAGTGGATTAAAACATTAGTTTGTGAAATTAGTGAGATAGTAATTGTGAGATCAATCCCTGGGCTAGATAGTGTGTACTTTGACTTGGTGGAAACAGGGTGAGCAATAACTGAGCAGTGCTAAAAATAAGAACTAGACAAGATATCCCTAAACATGAGCAGTGGAATGAGAACAGTCTCTTCCAGTAGATTAAATAAAGGGTTCAGTCTGGAATTCCCGGGATCAATATACACCTGATGAAGGCCAGAGAGCACAATAGCTGAAACACTGTGATAACAACAAAGATGAGGACAATAATGCAAATAATAACTACTCATCCCTGATATTCAGATGGTAATTTATACTTATTTCACTTTTATGGCAAGCTATTTCATTTTAAGTCAGATAATTATCTAAATGTCATCCTTTTAATTTGATTTGTAACAAAGTTAAATATAACAGACAATGAATGTCTTATGTTTGATCATGAGCTGTTCTAAGCTTCGTATAGTGGCTTTAGTTTCAGTAGAAAATAAAGACAAAAACTGTCCAACATTTAGATAATTTTTTTATTATGCTGTTCCTCAATCTAAACTTTTGGCTTAATGTCCATATAACAACTCTGATGATGGCTCATGTGAGCTGAAAGCTTAGATCAAGGAACAACATAATAAAATAATATCTAAATGTTGGACAGTTTTTGTCTTTATTTTCTACTGAAACTAAAGCCACTATACAAAATCTATAACGGCTCATGATCAAACATAACAGACATTCATTGTCTTTTATATTTAACAATATATGTTTGAATAATAATCTGCTGCCCCAATACAATATATATATATATATATATTCCATTACTGCTATGACTATTTGTACATTATAAGCATGATGAAACATTACCATTTGAAACACTAATAAGAATACGATCTAGTCGTTTCACGCTGGGTCGACTATCAAGGGCCAGCCAGAGAGTTCTGGTAATGTGCAAATCTGCACTTGGTGGCTATAAGAATTCCTTTCAGGTAAACCTGCTGCTCACCTGGCTACTCTAATATGACACAGTGCAAAGTATACTTTAATATCTTTTAGGGTGAGCCCATTACATACTAGAAACAGAAATATTATCAGAACTCAAGTTTTGTTGGAACAAAGGTTCCTTATTGGCATTAAATTCAATTCAGGCCATCTAGTATTTCCTGGTATGAGTCCCCATACTACAATATCTGAGATCAGATATCATAATATTTCAGAACTACGTATTATGGAAGTATTTTTAACATCCCTTCATAATAAGATCTTTGATGTGAACCAGTGAAAAGATGTCAGAACAAATATATTTTCTGTAATATCAGGGCTAACAAGAGTTAACTAAAAACAAGAGGGAACAACAACTTGGAGAGTTGAGTTAAAGGGAGATAACAGAGACATCCAGAAGAGGCATGACACATGGATCTAGAACAATCTATCTTGGTGGATAAAATAAGGGGTTCTGTTTAAAATTCTAATCACTTGAAGAAGGCCAGAGTGTACAATGGCCAAAACGTAAACATGACCATAAAGATGAGGATAACAATTTGAACAATGTAAATAACATAAATAATTACAATACCTCATCTCAGAAATATAGACAGATATTGAAGAGTTAACTAAGCCTAAAACCACAAAGTAAAAGAGGCAAGGAGAGAAACTTACCACACTCAGCGGTGACAGATGCTAAACCTCCATATACAAAAGGTCTCCAATCATTCATTCTGTGCCAGGCAAGACCTTCTTGCTTCTGTTATTCCTTTTTGGATGCAGAAGCAAAAAAGGTAAAATATCTTTTGATAGACAACTGTGAAAAAGAAAAAAAAATTGTTAGCTTTATAGATTCTTCAATACCAAATAAAATGAAAAAAGAAAAGATTAAAAAACAAAAAAAAACAGACTGTGCATTGATCTGGAAAGAAATTTCATCATAAATGCAGATTGATTTCTTCAAACTATCATAACTTTCTTCAGCCTCCCTTAGAACTTGACCAATGTAAAATCTTTACCCAAATAAAATTCAAAATATTCACATACACATGTAGAATGAAACACTAATATTCTGAAATATATCTGTGTGTGTGTATGAAAGAAAGTGTAAAGAAAGATAAGATATATACACATATAGTCAACTGCATAATGTCTTTTCAGTTGAAGCTTTGTAATGCATTTATAGCTAAATCCTTATTTTAAGATTCACTAATTATAAAACAAGAATTAATAATAAAGTGTGTTGAGGAGTAACAATGTGCAATTTTTATTTTTTTAACAGAACCATAATCATGTATTTTTTTTATATCCAAAAAAGTTGGATTAAATGTTAATAGAGTGAGAGAGAAAAAAAAATCTTAGATGATAAGAATATTTCTCTCTAAATATATAAAAAAAAAATCTTGTAAATTACAAACTCAGTAAATGTTTTATAGATTCAATCTCAACAAATAATCCTAATTTAAATTCAATGATAGATTTGAACATTTAAAAGAATGAAACCTACCCTTTTAGTTTTAATAGCAAACCTAGGAATGTGCTAAACTTATACCTACTTATAAAATTTACACTAATCCTCCTCATGGACAAAAATACAATTCTCTTCAGAAGTGTAATGTTCTGCGCAAGAGGCTATCGATGCTTGCTAGGCGTCGATTAATGCCTTGCTAGGATTTTAGGATGGTTCTTGATTGTCCTTCCGGTGATGGTAGCCTCCTATTCCCTTTTGCTGTGTAGCTGCTGATTAAGATTCACCGGATGTCTGGAGGGGACCTAACTCTTGCGTCTCTATGGGTTATCTCCCTTCTGTTGCTGGGATATTACAATGCTTTTTTTTTTTTTTTTTGAGAGGGTTTTTTTTTTTTGGTCCGGCCACAGCCGTTCTTAAGCCAAATCTTCGGATGAGCTACTTTCCAAGCCATCTTCGGACTTTCCAAAGCTGCGAGAATCAAGCAAATCAAAATTGGAATCATCAGAATGAAGATCTTCATCACCCTGCAATGTGAGATTCTGAGTGGAAGAAATAGTTATGGTCTGGTTTGGGGAAGAATCAAGGTCTTGGTCAGATGAAGTGTTGGACATTTTGAACGGCTGGCATCAGTTCTAGAGGTTTTGTCATGAATTTTCTTGCGTGACTGTCTAGGGTGTAGCATTTTCTGGATAGAGTTGAGGGAGACATGACTTGTGGCTCTGGCACAGACGGTTGTGGACAAGGTGCCGACTTACATTTTGTTGACATCTGTTGGACATTTGAAGAGGAGTACAATGGATTTTGAAAATCTGTTGAAGCAACTGTTGCTGGACGTTTAACTTTTGATAAAACTTGAGAGCGTCTTCATAAACATCATTTTGAGGACGCAAATATGTTGCATTTTGTGACAATCTCTTGCTTTTTGTTGGAAACTGCTAGAAGCAGTTGATGAAGGAGTGGCAGGAAAATTCTGTTGACAACATTTAAGCTTCAATTCATTTATTTCCTGTGACATTCTCTTCGTTTCTGTGCACAGCATTTCTTGCATTTGGATGAAGTGTCTCTCCAAAGACAAATGGGATTTTAAATCGTTTGTTATGCAAAAGAGATGATAACTGGTGAATATTGTGTGGGCGGTCATCAATTCTTGTTTATAAAGAGCGTTTTCAGCTTCAAGTTTCTGGACTGTGGAATTGATTTTGTGGAGAGTTTGTGATTGTTCACCAAGTTGCCCTTTTATTTGGTTGGGAAGCCCCAAAATAAAGATGAACTCCTGTTTGCTGGAGTATCCATTTCAATTGGAGGTGGCAAGTTCGAGCTCCAGCTGTGTGGAACACGTATTCTGTATCACTACCACTGCTACGTGGGTTCCGTTGGTCGTTTTCAATGCGGTTCACTGAGCGTCGATTGGTCTGTGTTCGTGGGGGATGATTTGTTTCCTGTTGTCTGTTTCCATCGTTTAATCTTCTGAAACAGGCAGAGGTAAAGTGTCCCACCTTCCACAGTATGTGCACTGGGTATGAAATGCCGGGCAAGACGTCAGTCCCCGCTCATGAGGGTATTTTCCATTGCAATTCCTGCACCGGGTATTGCGGGGATAGTTGCTTGGTCGGCGCTGTTCGTCTCGCGATTTTGTTTATTGGGGCGGTTGTAGCAGTAGCGGTGTTGTTGTCTTCCAGTCGCATTGTTTGTAGGTGCGATGCTATTGTCTCCGTTGTCCTTGCGTAGTTTATTAAGTCATGTAGTGACATATCCGAGTTCATGAGTCCCTTCTGGCGGACTTTTTCCAACAGGCAGCCTGTAATTAGTTGGGACTTCACCTCGGAATCCATGTCGGAAAAACGGCACATAGCCGCAGCTTCCTTTAGTTTGCGGTACAATTCTTCGATGCCTGGGCTATTTTGTTTAATTTTCCGGAACACAAATCGGTTGTATTCCGTGTCGTTTTCCGGGTTGAAGTGGTTGTGCACCGCTGAGACAAGCTTGCTGAAATTTGTTTCATTTTTTCTGGTGTGACTCGCTCATGTGGTATCTCGTCGATGATGATGTCATTCATAGCCTCGCCGACAAACGTTAGAAGGATTGCTTTTTGCTGTTTGTCATCCTCAATGTTATGTGCGAAAAAATAGTTTTTCAGTCTTTTTATGTATTTTGTCCATCTTGCTGCTTTGGCTGTTGACTCACAGTCAAATTCGGGGTAGTGTGGAACAGCAGCCATATTGGTTATATATCGAACATGTGTTGAATTTTTTTTTTTTTTTTTTTTTTTAAGTGTGTTGATGTTCTGTTTTTGTGAGGGTAACGACTCAGTCCTCGTCACCAATGTAATGTTCTGCGCAAGAGGCTATCGATGCTTGCTAGGCGTCGATTAATGTCTTGCTAGGATTTTAGGATGGTTCTTGATTGTCCCTCCGGTGATGGTAGCCTCCTATTCCCTTTTGCTGTGTAGCTGCTGATTAAGATTCACCGGATGTCTGGAGGGGACCTAACTCTTGTGTCTCTATGGGTTATCTCCCTTCTGTTGCTGGGATATTACAAGAAGACAATACAGTAAATATAAGTCTGAAAGAATGTGTTGCTTGACAGTTATATCTTTAATATACTTCAATGTTCAAAAGAGAGAGAGAGAGAGAAAGAGAAAAAGATGTGGGCTATCAACAGGTGTCATACAATGCATGGGACCATTTTTTTCTTTCACTAATGATAAAGGAGAAAGATTTATTCTTATTTATTTCCTTATGAACTCAATTTCTTTCATCAATTCACTAATAATACCTTGAGAAGGTTAAATATTCAAGATTCACTAAACAAAATCTTTTATAACTATTCAGTACTACTGTTGTGCGTATTATTTATAGTATTCAAAAAGTCCTTCAAAGTCTTCATGTAGAAATTATTTCCTTTTAACTGCAATATTAAGACGTTGAATAAGTTCTCGCTGTTTTACAACAGATGGCGTTCCCAGAACTGTGTGCATGTAGTTTCAGATGGTAACACCTCTATAAGGAAGCACTATAAGCAAGCTTGAAATTCAGTGTATGTCATTTTGCTGAAGTGTAAACAATTTTGTTTTTCATAGCATTAAACATGTTGCATTTCATGCCAAAGAAAGAGCATTTGCGGGGACTTTTACTGCACTACTTTATTCAAAAGAATCTGCAGCTGAAGCACACAGAATTTTTGTTGAGACTTACGGCGACCATGCTCTGTTGGAAACAACAAGCAGAGATTGGTTGAGATGCCTCAAAAATAATGATTTTGATGTTGAAGATAAAGAATGCTCTGGTGCGCTGAAATTGGAGGCATTACTTCATGAAGACTCGTGTCAGGTGCAAGCTGAATCTGCAGAATCATTAGGAGTTGATCACACAATAGTTTCGAAACATTTGAAAGCATTACAAAGGATTCAAAAGCAAGACATTGGGTGCCATATGAGTTGAAGCCAAGAGACATTGAATGGCGTCTTGTCATATGTGAACAGCTGTTTCGGCGACAGAAAAGGAAAGGTTTTTGCATCATATCATGACCAGTGATGAAAATTGAATTCATTACAATAACCCCTAAGTGTAGAAGATCGTGGGACAAGTCCAGCCATGCATCAACATCAGAGACAATATGGCAAATATCCATGGTTCAAAGCTTTTTGCTCTGCATTTGGTGGGATCAACTGGGTGTAGTTTATTATGAGCTGCTCAAACTGACCAAAATCATCATGGGAGGTTGCTATTGACTACAAACTGATGCGTTTGAGCTGAGCATTGAAGAAAAAACAGCTACTATATGAGCAGAGACACAACAAAGTGATTTTGCAACATCACAACACTAGGTCACATGTTGCAAAACAGGTGAAAACCTACTTGGAAATGCTTAAATGGGAAGTCCTACCCCACCCACCGTATTCACCAGGCATTGCACCGTCCAATTATCACTTGTTCTGATTGATGGCACAGGACCTGGCTGAGCAGCACTTTCATTCTTATGAAGATGCAAAAAAAAAAAAAAAAAAAAGGATAAACTTGTGGTTAACCCCAAAGGACGTGTCGTTTTTCCGACGTGAAATTCAAATGCTGCCAGAAAGATGGGAAAAAGTAGTGGCTAGCGATGGACAATACTTTCAGTGACATGTTTCTTACTAATTTTTGTAAATAAAACATCACTTTTCATGAAAAATCAGCAAGAATTTATTCATGGTCCTAATATTTAAAAATAAAATCTGCAAAACTAGAAAGGACATCACTTATTTGGGATTTATTACCAATTTC